TACTACATAGTCCCTCAAGTACGAGGCCATTGATAGAGGACTACGTGTTTTTAGACCATGGTGTAAGGGAGTACCTCGAGACCCTGAATTTCTTTATATGACGTGGTAGGCATGTTAAGCTCGGGTTTTTTAAGAGACGTCATATTGTTTGGTCCGCCAAAGGAAACTCTAAGGCCCTCAGGCGAGAGTCATATGTAGCATGGCTAATGACATTATAAGTCCATCAGGTGAGGCAGGTGAGGCGTTGGGCCTCTCGGACGGAACTTTTATCAAGCGCTCATATAAGACTTGTGAATAAGTCTCTTATGCTATACTTTGGCCGCGCCTTTGGATAAGATTTATATATTTAGTCCCGCTGAGGAAACTCCTTGGAGCTCGTGATAATTGTTTTTGTTATACATTTGTCTATAATTGGAGGCTATATTTTTTAAATGAAGTTATAATCAAACAATAGTGAACAACATGATAATCAACTATCTCCATCTCAAGCTCAAGGTAACCAATTGTTCTTTCCCACTTTCTTTTGTTCACTACTAATTATGCTAATTATTAAATCATAGTGAGGCACTTCGAATCGTGGAGATAAGGTTACCAATTACATGTTGTCTCATTTGTTTGCAATGAAGCTTCAAGAGGCACTTTGAGTAACTATTGTTTTGATTAGCTCATAAGCTAGATGATACTGCCTTAATAATATTTTTTTCTTTAAAATTTTACTTCATTCAAATATTGGTCACTTTATCATGAAAGATTCTTGAAAAATGCATTATTTTTATTACTTTTTAGCCTCAAATATGGAGAAAAAGTATTTTAAAAAAATTAAGAGAGCTTATCTTGGTGTAAGGGCAAAGATGAAGGAAGAAAATATATATAAAGAGACATGTAGAATGAGCCCATCATCTGTAATGGTAATCATTGGAGAAAAACTTATAATAGAAATTACAGAGTTGGTGTGTAGAGATGACATGGTTATTCCTTTTCTAAGTTGTGTTTATGGTAGAATGAACAAATGGTGATGTCATCTCAATCTTCAAAAGTTACTTCTTAGAGCATACACATCGCCGGCTATATGTCATGCCTACACAAAATCTAAAGCTATTGTTGTCAGAGTTATAAGATATTTGACAATGAAAGAACGTTGTTACATAAACAATGTTTCTTTGCCAAGAAGCGTTTCTTTTTCTTTAGTTTGTTTAAAAATTAATATAAAAACCAATGCTTCTTTGTAATATGAGATATATTGTGTGATTGGTGAGACCCACTTTAAAGTTTTTGACTAGTTATATGAATATTTAAAAAATGTATATGGATTGTTTAAATAGTTGGGAAATATGAAATAATATACAAAATTTAGCATGGTCCATTTAAAGAAGAAAATGGGTTCTTTGAATGTGAATGCTCTTAACTAGCTGAATTTCTTTGCTCTTTTAGTTGAGTTTGCAGTGTACCTATTGATAAATCTCCTCGCATTAATTGGGAAATAATACTTGTTATTTACAAAAAAAAAACAACTTTGTTAGTTCTAGTAAACATGCTTATAGCAACAAGTTTATCTTGTATGTCACAACTATGATTAAGCGATGTTTATTTTTTTTAGTTGTCTAAGCAATTATACTAATGGCTAACCAACATATAACATCACATCATTCATTCATGGTTTGTCGTTTTGACATATGAAATTCCAAGCTCGTATTAAATACGTTATGTTTTTCTGCAAGCGGTGAACATAAGATTGCAAGAGCAGACAAAACTAAGCCAATACATGAAGTAACAAAGAGAAATGTCCCACATTATTTTATTTAGAAAACATATTAATGTATATAAAGGTTATACATAATACGTTATTCAATTGAAAAGATACCATATGAATATGGGTCAAAAATATTGGGCCCAATATATTTCATTAGATTTTTTAATTAATTAATTTAAAAATAAAAACACAAATAAAATATTATTAGTTAATTAAATAAATTATCTTAGTAAATATTGTCAAGTCATTAGAAATAATCTTTTTAATCATAATCATCACTGCCACGTCTCTAAAACTGGAGGAGAACAGTTAAATTCTAAAGGATATAAAGTCGAGGAACTAAAAAGTTACTTTTTAAAACGGGGGACCAAAAATTATAACCCGTAAAATTAGGGGAGTCAAAAGTGCATTTATGCCTATTTTAATTATTCTCACTAATTTCCCTTATTTTATTATTTATAATCATTTAGCTCATTACTTATAAATAATCACAACTCTTCGTATTTTCTATTATTATTCTATTTTATTTTTATTAAAATCGCAATAATAACACGAGTTAAATCACAAGGCACACCAAAAATTCAATTAAATTTTTTAATAAAACTCCAATAAATCTTGATAAAATTTTTGGGGTGTTCAACTCTCCCCTCCTTACAGAATTTTCGTCCTCGAAAATTTACGTGATAAAAACAATTTTGGATAAGACTTTGTCATTTGACTCTCCAGCTTCCAAGTAACGCTACCATCTTGTAAACATTAGAGTCAGAGTCTGATAAAAAGTGGATTTGGTTATAGAAGTTGGAAAATATGTTTGAGCACTGGTAAGGTGGATAGAAATCTATGGATAATATATTAACATAAGCCTCTTCATTGAGGGGACTCACTAGGAAGAGTTGATTCTTAAAGTGTTTCACACTATCTGAGTAAACGTCGCACATTCCAGTGCTTCATACTATTTGAAAAGATGGAAGAAAATCCTCAAGGTCAACACACTCCTTTTTTATTCACACAAGTATTGAAAGACCTTAACGTAAGTCCAACTCACTAGGTGTAGTTGCAAAGGGGTTATTAACAAGTGGTTAAGAACGACAATCTCAAAATAATTAAAAAGGGGGACAAAGACCTATCAAAGTAAACAAACATTCGTGAATAGGAATGACACACACGTCATACTTATTGCATACCCTCATTTCTTCACCAGGAATAAGAACTCCAAAATCAGATGAAGGTCAAACCTCAGTAAAAGCACAATCAAACCGCCCTTGCTAACGAAAGTGGAAACGGTGTCGTCCGACTTCTCCTGATCTACCCACATCGACAAATCATCCTTTTTTTTGCCTTACTGATCATGGTAGGGGGATTTCCATTGTAAGGAACATGATCAAGCAAAAAAGAAAATTATGAAGAAAAAAAACAACATAATTCGCATTAAAAAAAGTAAAAAATAAGCACCCTGTTTAAACATGCCAACAATAGAAGTTCCAATATCATAAACCTATTATCCATAAACCCTAATAAAGAGAGCATAAACAAGAAGAAGGAAAATATTGATTTTACCTTGAAGAAATGAAGTTGATCGCCTACATGTTGAAGGCACCACTGAACAAAATGTCATAAATTAACATAATAAGACAATTCAGCGCAAACGAGCTCAAATAAAGAAGGAAGTTAATGATACAAAAGAGGAAGAGCTCCTACAATTCACAAATGACAAAAAATGGAGAAACAATACACTCAGAACTCTTTATACGTTCCATAACCAAATAGGACCATATGATCCGCTACATTAGGAAGCTCAAGCCACACCTCAATAGTCAGAATCTACTCGTGAGTTGTTCGAAACACTCGAGTATCTTAGGATAAAAGATTCATTAAAATGCTACCCAATATAGAAAAGACATTTAATGCACATGTTCCCAACTAAAATTACGTCATAACAAGGCTATTCACCTGCTCCTTCCAACGACAGACCTAGGGGTGTATATGACAAACCCCAAGAGCTTGGGGACAATTGTTCTAGGTCGATAACAAGGTTCATAGCCAAGAGCTTAAGAACGACATCAAGTGAAAAGGCGCACAGAACAAATGATCTCTCATTCCACTAAGGGTAGATAATTCCTCATCGAGACCAATGTTTTAAAAACTGGATCGGTCATCAAATCGGTGAAGGTACTGGGTCGCTGGTTCATTGGTCGAACCACTGGGTCATTGGTCGAACCGCATGACTAAACCAGATTAAATCGGATAACTCAGATGAATAAACCAACCTCTATAAAAAAAACTATATATTGAATAAATCGATCGAATTGGATGACTTGGTTTCTAAAAAATATCATGACACCTACAATATTTTAAAATATCATAACTTCACAAGCTAATTCTTTAAATTCAAACTCTTGACGTAGTCATCACGCATGAAAAAATAGTACAAAATACAAATCTAAATAAATTTTGAACAATATCGGATTACAAAGAAGAAAATTTGTTCCAAATAAGTTTTGAATAAAGTGTACTTATATTTTAATTTTATTAGAAAAAATAAATTATCAAAATGATGTCGTTATTATGAAGAAAAAAAAACATGCATTTAAACTGTCGGTTTTCCAAAACTTTTGGTTCACCGGTTTTTAGCGATTTTGGCCAGTTCTGGCCGGTTCCCACTTGTTCAATAACATATCCGATCCAACAATCAGACCAGACCTGTGACCTCTCCGGTTCCCGATTCGACCGGTCTGACCAGTCGGTCCGGTTCGATTTTTAAAACATTAATCCATACGCATCGATCGCCATATGATTAAATCTAACAATCATTCGTACAACACATGTTCCTTCACGCAGACGATTTAAACTGTTCCCTCTATATAAGAAAAAAAAGTGTATCATTACATATATTCAAATCTATTATCACTATCACTTTACTCGTTATTCTCTCACTAACTTAAACATTAAAGTATTAATCTTACCCGTCAATTCCCTTCAACCTTACCAAAACCTACTCCACCGATTCAAAATCTCATCTTACAATTTCATAAATTATTTATGCCTAACAAAAACTATAATTTAAATGGAAAGTGTAAATAATAGTAGTATTGGTTTAGTATCGTCGATGAAGCTAATGTAGGCCTAAAGAAATATGGGCAAAGTTGACATTTCCCAAAAACAAAAACAAAAAACAAGAGAATTGCAAGGGTTGTTCATTTCTGCGTGAGTGAAGTCGTGAGAGAAACTGAGAAGTGCAGAGAAGAGAATCATGGGAAGCAGATTAGGAAGAAGAGTGATACACTTCGCAAACCTACCAATCAAGCTTCTCATGCCATCTTCATTCACCAACATCCAAGAAATCGCCCTCAAAACCATTCCTTCAGCCTCCAAGATCGAGATCAAACGCGTTCTGGAATCTCTCTACGGCTTCGAAGTTGAAAAAGTTCGAACATTGAACATGGACGGAAAGAAGAAGAAACGCGGCGGCATTTTGATCGCAAAACCTGATTACAAAAAGGCTTACGTAACCCTAAAAAACCCGCTTTCAATTAACCCTAACCTTTACCCGATCCGAGTCATTGAAGAGGATAAAAAGAGCTTGAATAAACAGGCTATGGCTAGCGTTGTTGAAGAAGCACCAAGCAAATCCCACTGGCTCGATGAGAACAAGGAAGCTCAACGGTTTAAGCCCCAAAACGGTTATAACCGGGGACGGTTCGATAGTTCTGGTTCAAACCGAGGTTCCGGCTCGAACCAAGGACGATTTGATAGTTCCGGTTTGAATAGGGGGCGGTTTGATCGTTCCGGTTCAAACAGGTCTGATGGTTCTGCTGCCAAGTTTCCCTGGACTAACATGAGGTCTGGTAGGAGTACTGCCACTAGGTAGTTTTTTTTTCTTTCTTATGTTGGGTTTTGTATGATGAAATTTGGTGGTTTTATTGGATTTTTGTTGATTAGTGATGAAAGTGCTCTTTTTGATTCAATAATTTTTGAGATAAAACATTTGAGCACCAACTGTTTGTATTAATTACTGATAGCAGGTACTAGTTTATGCAAGCTGTTATTAAATTTAAAAAACATGTTCAACTGAATTGGAAATGGATACATTGCTGTTATGAAATGTTCAACAAGATTTTATTGGTATTTAGTAAATCAATCAATAACTCTAGATTTTGCTTGTTCTAATATAGCTTGTTTTTCATTGATGTTGTTGTTGCTATGCATTGTACCAGTAGTTTGTTTGCAATATATGGTGTGTAATATGTTTAACTTGATAATCTATTTAAAGGGTTAAATAAGAACGAAACTGACTATTGAAGGGTTAATAAATTTATGGTTTATTCGAACAGTACATAGGCTTGATGAGATTATCAGAACATAATCAGTCAGAGAATATAAATTCCTTTGTTTTTGTAACAATTTTGGGTTATTTAGTTGATGTTTTTCTGCTTTGATATTTTAACTTGGTTTTATTTGTCAACCTTTTAGTCTTAATTTTGATTTGTTCTGTATCTGCTTAGTTCCTTTATTATCCAGTCATTGGATTTATAAAGTCTTCCCAAGTTTATAAAATTAAATTAAGTTTTTCCAACTAGATTCACTGTCTTTGAGATTATGCCAGGTCTGCCATGGTTTGGACTTTGGAATGCTTTGCATTTTTTCTTTCAATTCCTCCTTGTAGATTGATACTATAGATTGGATCATCTTAAATACCATCCGACCCACTTATCATCTGATTATCAAGTCCTTTGGGAGTGATGACATGAGTGATAATAAGAGCGGTAATTAAGTATCATGATGTCATCATGATGTTGATGACAGGTCCTTGGATAATCCTGGTAGAATAGGATTTAGGAGTCTTAAAGAATCGTGTTGGTTATTGAATTTCTGGTTTTTGTGGAATTACATATTTAATCTAATATGTCTTGAGTTAATAGGAATTGCCAATGGCTTGAATTTTTCCTGGAAACCAAGCCATCATAGTTTGGTTATTGAATATGATTCGAAATCTGCTGGGGAGTTAATCAGGGTGCGAAATCAGTTGTGTCACTCATATGCGTCTCTCATTGATTGTGTTAGAAGGTTCATAGTTCTACCTTGAATTTCAGTAAAATCAAAATGAAGCTCTAACTTGAATCTTAACCTTTAGTCACACTTTGATAGATGGGAATGCCTATGCAATGTGAATACTGTTTGTAAAAGTTGGAGCTTCATTGGATTTTGCCTAAGATTTTGAGTCAGTTTTCTTAATTGCATGCCACCAATCAAATTGCGTATGTAATGTTTAGTATTTTGGATAGATGTCCCTTCATTTGGAACTGCATCAGGAACAACATTTGCTTATTGTTTTTGAAAATATCAATGATTGCAACACAGAAACAATTGCATTTGCAATTACAATCTATAACCATGCCATTGGGGTTTGGTAACTTTAGTTTATTAGGTTATTCTCCAATTCCATCCCCTTGTTTATCTTCCTCCAATTTAGACTCTATCCTGATGAATGCTTTGGCTCAACACTCAACTTTTCATATACGCATTGCAACTCGTTGAAATAGTAACTATCTTAGTTAGTATGTGGTTTGACAACTCCAGTTTTCTGGTGTTTGAACTTCACTGCCAATTCAATTGATTTTTTGATAGTGAATATAAACTATCCTTTATGAATTTTGGCAGCTCTGTCCTTTATGAGTTTTATTGAACTATCACTGAACAGTTGCTCAGATTGTAAGACAGAACTCCACTTTGTACGTTTGGTATCAAAAAGTGTCCCGAGCCTAAAATATGTTGCCCTTACCAAAATGGTTATCGGTAGGTTTCAGATGCCCTTGAATACAGAGTTCATTGATTCAACGAGGTTTGTTGTCGTGCGGCCTCTTCTTGGCCATTGTCGTATGCCCTGATCCATTTCTCTAGTTGAATATTGTCGATCCATTTTAATGCATCTGCATTTGTCAATTTGATTTCGTCACCGTAGTGTTTGAAGGAAGACTCTGTTAATGCATGTCCTGCGTTTATAACCTTCTTCCGCAGCGTCTTGTCCTTGATCTCTCACATGAAATTTTGAGTTATGTGTCTTATGCAATACACATGCATTGATGAAGGATTCTGTCATCCGTTATCAAGATTCTTGTATGCACTCTCGATTGATGAATGTCTATTAGAAATCAAACATAAGTTAGGTTGGAGAGACACGTGTAATTGTAGATTTTTTAAGACAAAACTCCAATCCCTAGTAGTTTCCTTTTCAACTAAAGCGAACACGATTGAAAGAATGTTGTTGTTGCCACCTTGTGCCACTGCTATGAGTAGCGTGCCTTTATATTTTCCGTACAACCATGTTCCATCAATTTGAATAATAGGTTTTCAGTACGCAAAATCTCTGATACATGGTTCAAACGCCCAGAAGAGTGTGGAAAATGTCATTTCCACTGACACAAGTCCCGTTTGGGGTATACGCCGACAATGTCTCTAAGATGGCAACAGTCCCTGGAGCATATTGTTTAAGCGCCACCAAGTATTTTGGAAGTTCTTTGTACAACTCCTCCCAATTTTCGGACATCGTTTTGACCGCCTTAGTCCTAGATATCCATGCTTTCTTGTACGACAGAGTATAGTTGTATCTTTGAACCATATGCGAGATTATGGTACTCACCTTCAAAGAAGAATTGTCGCTAATAACTGACAGAATTTCATTGCATATCAACTGAGAGTTGAGTTTGTGATGATCCTGCATTGGATTCGTGATTATACAAGCGTGCTCTGGACCCATAGACCCTATCTTTCATGAATCGCTTCTTTTCCGGTAAGATGTTGTCTATCGAAACGGGCACACCTCGTTACGACAATATATCTTATACAGAGTCGGATTCGTTCGGTCGACTCTATAATTTGCTGATAATTCCATGTGATATTGTTTTATAGCTCGAACACAATATTCTTTTGTACGAAAATTGTCTCCCTTTTTTAATATTCCTTCTGTTTGCATGTATGGATTGTAAAAAATATCTGCTGATGGTTCATCTGCACCTAAGTTCAGGCTTGTCATCTGTGGAGGTGGACAATAAACATGACTGACCGATAATATGTCTTCCTCGTGGTCGGCAGTAGAATTGTTTACCATTTCATCAACAAGTACCTCAACTTCTTCTTTTTCGTTCACGACTTCGACTTCAGCTTGTTCGTCGTCAGATTCACAAAAAACCTGAGAAGGATCAATAATTTAAGATTGTTGTTGTTATTGTAATATAATATAAAGCTCAATATCATTGAAATCAGAATACTCATGACTGAGAAACATATTATGAACATCTTCATCATCTCGAACCTTTAATTGAAAAAATTTGCATTGGTTGTCAGCAAAAAATACTGAATTCTTGTAGATGATCTGGCCAACTAGACCACATTGTAATTTATTTTCTAATCGCGCCTTCAAATTGAAAATATTTGATCTTCTGTTAATTGAAAACCTAATAACATCGGTATTTCGAAAATTGAAACCCAGTTACATTATAGTCAAATATCTCACAATTGAGATGCGCACTGATCATGTATTGAGGTGTTTGAGCCATAACAAAATTTTTAGAATAGTAGTGTATGATAAAATGATAGTGTAATAAAATATTAATTTCAAGTGTATTGATAGACGTCTAGTTTTAATATATTATTTCTGTATGGATCTTATTTTTTAAAATAAATTTATTAACTTTACAGACATTAATCTTGTATATCTTCTTCCATGAAATTGTCTTGTCTCGTTTATATCTTCTTATCACATCCCATGCACCAGTTTTGTCTTCCTTGATATTCTTTTATATCCTTCCATGTATTAGTCATGTCCCATTTATGACTACCAAGACCCTGTTAATGTCTTCTTATGACTTGCATACCTATATAGCTCTCACATGCCTACACTAATGTTTACTTATCATAAAAGTCTTGCATGCCAACAAGAATCTCACACAAGGTACAAAAATACACTATTCTTTATCAAACTTCTTACATGTATTGCATGCATATCTTATATCACATGGGGTACACGAATTATTGCTACTTTATCACACTATTCATTATCACATGCATGCACACTTCTTACAAGAAAGGCTTGCATGAGTTGAACGCTTCATAGAGATTCCTTGCATGCTTCTTTATTACACTATTCATTATCACATGCATGCACACTTCTTACAAGAAAAGCTTGCATGATTTGAATGCTTCACATAGATTCCTTGCATGCTTCTTTATCACATTACTCATTATCCCATGCATCATATGCTCTTCATTTTGTAAGAGAATCCTTACATTGTGTAAAAGATTCCTTACACAATATATTCTTCATTTTGTTTTACACCTATGCGCCATATGAGATGGCGTGTGTGTACAATTTACACACCCATGCGTCATATGGGATGGCGTGTGTACAAACATCACTCCCATGCGCCATATGGTATGGCGACAAGTTTGAAACCTCATGCAAAAACCTAGACTTCACGTGCAAAGAATCATCCACTATATATATGGTATTAAAAATAACTCTTCCCATCCCAACATTTCATTTCTAGCAAGCCAAGTATTTCAGCAAGCAACAACCTATTCCCATCACAAGCTATATTCATTCTAATCCATAAAGATGTCTCTACTCACTATGGGGAACGAACACAGAGGAACAATTGAGAATATCGCAGAATTTGTAAGTGTTTTGCTTTATTTGTTTTGTCTCCCCTAACTTAGTTGTTTTTCTTTATAACTAAGGTTATTTATATTCTTTGTCAGAATGTAATAATATTTCGTTGTCGTGTACATGATTATATACCACACGACCCATTCATACAAGGATACCTTGAATCGCGTGGCTTCGGTGATTTGATAAAAATCACTTCATACTCATATAACCTCAAATTTATTCTAGCTTTGCTAGAACTTTGGAGACCAGAGATCCACACATTTCACCTTCCTTTCGGTGAATGCACCATCACACTGGAAGATGTCTATATGCTATTGGGCCTACGCATCGATAGTAAGGCTGTTAACGACAAAATTGGTGTTGATAACCAAATTTGCGAAGATTTGTTGGGTGCCCCTCTTTGTGTCGAAACACCTCAGCCACAACGTGCAGGTCAACCAAGGGGTCAAAGTATTAATTTAAAATACCTAAGAGAACATTATAAAACTATCATATTAAACGAGGAATTCACTGAGTATGACAAGATAATTACAACTCGGTGTTATATTATGATCTTGTTTGGACATTTTTTTATTCCAGAAAGTACTAGAAATACTGTAAATATTATGTATTTGCTGTTGTTACGCAATATTAATAAAATATGCACATATAGTTGAGGTTTAGCTGTTCTGTCCCATCTATATAGTTCATTGTGTAAAAATTCAAAAAAAGTACTTGAACGTTTTATGGTTGCGCCTTTCTACTTCAAGCATGAGGTTAGTCTAGAATGTCGACACTAGCTCCGGTCAACTCGCATCCATAAACATTCTCCTACACAAACAAGTAAGTTTATTTTGAAATATCAAACATATATACTTTGATGAAACATTTATTTGTAACTAATTTATTCATCTCACTTTTTCTTAGGTGGTTAGTTCTGAGAATGACTTACCAACGATGTCCTAGAAACTCAATAATTGTGTACCACAATCTTTAGAACACATTGACCCAGATGATGTAAATTATTCTTACGCTACTATAAATTTGGCTACTAAATTACCACACTGTAATTTTTCTCATTAAATATTTTGTTCATGCAGTTTGCCTGGAGGTCGTGTGTGGGTCTCGACCATCATCCAAACGACGATGGTGTTACAGTGTGGACAATAAAAACACCGATCATTCGACTCACTACAGTGGATATGCACTAAGTGATCTGGTGAAACTGCAGTTCGACATGCATCAAGATATTTCAGTCGCTCCGACGTCTTTGGGAGACTGACATCAATTGAGAATGGATGCACAATGGGGTCTAAAAGATTGGAGAGACTTTGCTAAGGAGATGTATCGATATTGGAAGCGACGTCGCCATTTCTTAAACGAGCCTGTTGTGGAAGGGGTTAGACCAAGTCATCAATATATGATTTGGTTTAGGTTGATTACAACAACACAACAATTTGTGTCTGAGCCGACATATTTGATAGGTTCGCGCCAATGTGCTTCTTTCTCATACACACAACAACAAACACTTGCCAACAACAAACACCGCACCACACCCAACAACCACATCTACCAACTCAATCAATCTTCCAGATTCGCAACCCATTCACACCACCCATCAAATCACAACAACAAGAGCCTAACCCTTACCGCCAACATCCAAATACCGAAACCACATCTGCCTATAGCCCTGATAACTTTCGATTCCACCCAGCCCACTATAGCCCCCCACAAATGAACACACAATTGTCTTACCACCAAAACACCCAACCACTATTTGACTACCTAACCCCATAACAGCCATTGCATCGTTTCCAAAACGATTTAATGTGCCAATTCGGCCAACCATACCATCCACATCTAACCCAACTCCCCGTCTAAACTTCGAAAACATGGGCATGGAACTAAATTACGGAAGCGCCATTGACAGCAACCCCCCGACTATTAGGGACAAATGATTCAAAAAATTTCAAATACGCCAGACCGCTCTCAACAAATACCTTTTTCGCAGAACAATACGCAAAGACCAAAAACACCTCAACAAAATCGTGGTAGACCTCGGAGACACGCTAATGCGTCGGGATGTGGAATCGGAGGCACGCTAATTCGTTGGAATGTGGAATCGGAGGCGTTTTGATCAGGCTGATCATTAATTTTTTCTTCATTTCTTGTAAAATTTAATGTATTTTTATAATATTTATAATTATTTCTTATATACTATTACAAAAATTATAAAAAAAATAAATAAAGGGAGGATGCACCATCTCATACGGTGCGTGAACTCTAAATTTAGAGTTTAGGTTTTGTAAACTAGGTATAGACACTATATGGTATGACGTATTTATCCAAATTCAAATGCATTCGTCGTATCATATGACACATCAACGTAGAAAATATGTCATTTTCGTAATTTTTTTCAAAAATATGATTTTTCTAATATTTTTTTTGAATATATATATATGTTATTCAAAAAAAAAAAGAAATTCACATTATCACATTATAAAATATTTCACTTTACATGTGCATCAGATAGAAAAACAAATCAAAAAAAAAAAAAGCCCTTGGGGTTAGGGCTGTTAAGGTTTCTGGTAGGATACAAAAGTAAATTGAAAGAAAGAAGGGGTTGAAATTGGTAATTAGAGAAAAAAGGTGCGCGGTAGACTAGTCATCATGATGAGCATATATATAGTGATTGTTCTTGAAAATTGCAACAGGTGGTGATTATTGTCAACTGCATTTTCTCCCTCTCTTCTGTTTCTCTCGAGTTTTGAGAGATTCAGATTTAGATCTGATCCAAATTCGCGTTACTCACGTTTCTCAAACAACAAAGGAAAAAATAAAATCCAAAAAAAGAAACAAAAATGGCGACCGTGTCCGCTCTTGCCAAATACAAGCTCGTTTTCTTAGGTGATCAATCCGTTGGGAAAACCAGCATCATCACTCGCTTCATGTATGATAAATTCGACAATACCTATCAGGTTATTCCATCGTTCTTTTCTTTTCTAATTTATTCTTATTGGAAGATTTCGTTGATCGATTCTCTGTTTCGATTTTCATTCCAATATCACCAATTCCGTTGCAATCAATCTCGATATGTTTTTAACTGTTGATCTATTATTTCATCTCATGGCAAATTAGATAATGCGTTTATGTGATTTTATTTTACTAGGATCATGGATCAATATGAGATGTAATAGAAGAACTATTGCGGTTTTAGTCATGTAGTTTATCCAATTTTGAGATTGTTTTCTATGAATGTTTATCATGAACAGTGATAATAGATAGATCTAATGATATATGTTGATTTTGATGCATTGCAAAAATTGTTTCAGTTAAGAATTAAAATAGTTGCTTGTAAATTCCTTGTTGCATTACTCGTGCATTGATCATATCGGAAGGATTATGTTTAAGTTTATGAAGTGCTAGATTGGGAAGAATTGCTTTGAGTGATTGTGAAATTATTTTTAAGGTTTAAATATGTTGTATAATTTGGCCATTATAATAAAAGTAATATAAAATGATTGAATATAAGGGGGCCGATGTAAAATACATATTGTTGTTTAATAAATTTAAATAATAAATTTTTATTTATAATAATAGTGAACAAATAGAGTAAATTTTAACTATTCCATCTATATTATATAAATTTTTTATGCTAAAATAGTTTATTTTTTTATATTTTAATTATAAAACATGGGTTCTACACTTGAATTTTACATTTTTGCTAAAAAAATTAAAAATCAATGTTAAAAGGATAAATAAGTTGTTAAAAATAAGTTAAACTCTCCTGTTTCACAAATTTTCAACACACAGAAAAAGTACCGCATCAAGATTTGATATCTTAGATTGAATTTTACATTTTTGCTTAAAAAATTAAAAAAAATCAATGTTAAAAGGATAAATAAGTTGTTAAAAATAAGTTAAACTCTCGTGTTTCACAAATTTTCCACACACAAAAAAGTACCGTATCAAAAACACAAATTTTTCACACACAAAAAAGTACCGTATCAAGATTTGATATCTTAAGCCGTAAAAATATCACCGGATCGTTCTACCAATTCAGATAAGTTGTAAATTAACTACATGCATGTTATTATTATAAATATACTTATAGCAAATTATATATTTTAATTAAAATTTTAAAAAAAATTGAGAATTTTGAGGGGGCCATGGCCACCCCCTGTCACTATGATGTTCCGCCAATGAATATAGTGCCGTCGTCTATGTGAATCATATTTATCAGATACTATGGTATTAGATACGACAATATGTTATTGCTTGAAAAAATTAGGATAAGATGCATTCAGGATACTTCATTTGTAACGCTCATGGTTTATGTCAGTTACCAACTTATGTTACTTAAAATAGAAATAATGCATTTCTTTTTCGTGTTGTTTTAGTCTCAACGCTTGCAAAATAGAAGTAATGCTATTGACAAATTTCTTGATCATCTAAATTTCAGGCTACTATTGGTATTGACTTTTTGTCAAAAACAATGTACCTTGAAGATCGCACAGTTCGTTTGCAGCTTTGGTAGGCAGTATTCCTCTTCAAGTCATATAACATCATCGGTCTATTTATATTTGTTTATTTATAATCTAAAAGCTATAGTAGATTTCACATTGTGGTGTAGACATTATTTTACCCGTTGTTTTTGCATATTTTGAGTGTAGTCTATTTTAACTACACAGGGATACTGCAGGACAAGAAAGATTTAGAAGTCTCATTCCAAGCTATATAAGAGATTCTTCAGTCGCAGTTATTGTATATGACGTTGCCAGTAAGTATTGTTCTTTTAAGAAAGAAAGAAAAATTGGAATAGTTGTTTTCTAAGTCTTCGTAGGTTTTCTTGTGACATAAGTATTCTATAAGCTATTAGTTAATGTTTTTATTCATGGGTTTAATACTCATTTTGGAACATGGAATATAGGCACAAACATTGGTAGATGAATAAAAAATAGTAGAGTAGAAACCATGATTATAAGAACTAAGAAGGATAAATTTTATGTACTGGTCAAAAACTAGATGAGTAGACGAGAGTACTAAAGAACTAGGCATGCTCTAATTCCAGATTTAAAACACATGAAAAATAAAATCTGGAATTCCAGATTTAAAACACTTGAAAAATAAGATCTGGAATTAAGCAGGACATTATTATATACAGGTATTGTATGAAAGAGGTTGTGGATACTAAAATGTTACCATAGCTCTATAGTTTAGAGTGGAATGAGAGGCTTTCAATGTTACAGGTGCAATACAAGATGAAGTTCTTACAGGATTTAAATGGTTTAGATAAGGAAACATTATACGTTAGAGTTTCCTGAAAAACAATCTAAATTGTTATGTGAATATGGTAGCTAAAAGGCGTGACCGTCTGAGAGTGTTCAAAGGGTTATAGTTTATGCGAAGTAAACATTACTTTATGTTGTTATAATTATTGGTTTTCCCATGGTTAACACTTATTTTAGGAAAAAAGAAAAAGAACGTGAACTACAGAGTCATATTAGAAGAGAGTTTGACCATCCAACATTGGTTTTACTTATGATATCTTAGTAAAGAGAAAATAATAATAAGAATAGTCAAGTTAGCATATCCTAAGTGAGAATACAGAAAATCTCTTTATGACTATAGGTGGGTGGGCTCCAAGAGTCAAATCTTGTATTTTTATGTTGATTCTGGAGATGCTTACCGAACACATCCAAGCGACAGTGTCATTGTGCTTTATTGTGTGTGGCTTTTAGTTGGAGACTCAAGAAGAGAGTAATAGGAAGTCAGTGATATGGAGTCAGTACTAGAAACACAGGGCTTCCTCCAAAGTTAAAATAAGTTTATGACATTCAAGTTTAGTAAGAGGTATGAATTTAGCTTAGATGTGAAAATTGGAGAAAATAAAATACTACAGGTCAGTATCAGAAAAGCGTTGAAAACGTCAGCTCCCCATTCTCTACCTCTCTTACTAAGTTTTCTGTTGTATACCCTTTCTTTATGCTCGGTTTGCTTGCGGAGTCAGCGGTGCTTAGATTTTTTAGCTATCTATGAAGCATAAATCAAATTATAATCATTAAATTTCTTAGCAAAAGCTGTTCTGATGCAGACAGGCAATCATTTCTTAACACTAGCAAGTGGGTAGAGGAGGTACGTACAGAACGAGGCAGTGATGTTGTAATCGTTTTGGTTGGAAACAAAACTGATCTTGTTGAAAAAAGGTGAGCAGGGTGTCTACCAGTCTGGACATAGTGTTTTTCTCATAAGTTACATATCAGCCTGTTTGCTAACTTGACATGCCTTTCAGACACACTTTTTTTTTAATGTTAAGACACTTGATTTTGAAATTTTCTTACTGTTTCATACTATGTTTGTAATAATTCTTCTTTGGTTTTTGAAATTTTTTTGTGAAAAAATGTTGGTTAATTTTGAAAATAATTCTTGTTCTGTTTGCATATTATTTTGCTAATAAATAGATTATGTAACACTCAAAATTAGGACAGGTTTACCAAAATTGTCCTGCCTTGAAGTTGTTTTTTCAAAACCATGTTTGAAAGGTAAATTTATAGGTACATGATGATAAAATTTCGTTATTGGGCAAAGACATTTTCAATTAGCTTACACATGACGTTTGCAATTTTCCATATAGTACTAAATTTCTACTTATTTATGCAAGGAAATTACAATGTCTTTTCTTTCACTTTTCTTCTCATCATATTTTGATTTTTCTCTCCTCTTCTGTCACATGTCCATACAATCCTTCTAATACTAAATGACAATGTTTTCATTACACTCATAATGCAATTATAATGCTTAAATAGGCAAGTCTCTATAGAGGAAGGAGATGCCAAGTCACGCGAAAGTGGGATCATGTTTATCGAAACCAGTGCAAAAGCAGGATTTAATATCAAGGTGAGATTTGATTAATTCTCCAAGTCACCATATAATTTTTACTATTTGTTGCTTTGGAATTCTGAACTATGTCTTCTAAAAAACATAGAATGATTCCCTGCTGCATTTTCGTAAAATGTTAAAGCATGCCATTCAGGGATTTCAAATTGTGATCGGCTGTCTTAGCTCTTGCATTAGTTTATCGTATCCATATTAACTCAAGTGAATAAAATGTCACAGCCTTTATTTCGAAAGATTGCTTCTGCTTTGCCCGGGATGGAAACTCTTTCTTCAACAAAGCAAGAAGATATGGTTGATGTAAATTTAAAGTCCACCGTGAATTCATCCCGCACGGAGCAGCAGGGAGGAGGTTGCTCGTGCTAAACAAGTGCTATTCAAAAGGCCAATATTTGTTACTTTGGCACAATTATTGGTTTGGCTACTAAAATGGAAAAATGCACCTAGGCAAAACGTGCTTTTGTATCAATGTTCTTCAGTTTAGTTTGGTAGGGGCTAGCACTTAAGCAGTAACGGTTTCCATGTAAGATAAAAAAAGAATTCGGCAATTACTTATTTTATTTTCTTATACAGTTAGTCCTTTTATGTAAGAATGCAGATAATAAAAAGATCTTAACATTGTTTACAGAGGCATCATCAATTTCTGTGGTATGGATGCTTAGATAAAGCTTCAAACTGGAGATTTGTTTGGTAACATTTTAATGACTAAAACGATTACATGCTTAATTGCAGAATACAATAAACAGTGAAATTACATACAAATAAGAAAAAAATATGTAAAATTTTGTTTGAAATACTGGTTTTACACAATGAGTTGCTTTATAATAAATAAAAAAACTGACAAATTCCCCTTTAAATTAAACACATCAATTTTTTCAACCAATTTTTGTTACTTTAAATAAGTATTTACAGTATCTTGTATTTTTAAGACAAAAATTTCTTTGTAGTTTCTTTAAACAATGCCAATTACTTGGTAACATAATCCTAAAAAAGCATCGTGACTTACATGGTTTCATCAGGTGAGTTTCAATAACAATTGACTTTAAAGGATGGCAGAAATTAATCACCGTTTATTCCTTGCACCTCAAGTCCAAATAAAGTTATTTTTTTTGGTAGGGTTCTATTTAGAATTTTTCACCTAAATAACCAACATTTTACCTCCTAATAACCAATATACCCAACATTTCAACATATATATCAATTTAACCATTTTTCACGTTTTTTTCTTTACTTTTGTATAGGGGCGCCATAGGTGTTGGAGTCACCTTTATAAATTATAGGTTATAAATTATAGGGGGCGCCATGAGTGTTGGAGTCATCCTATAATTTATAAGAGTCCTTTGGAGGCACCCCTTATAAGTTTTTCAAATTAATTTTTAATATTTAAAATGTTTAAAAATATTTAATAAATAATATTTAATAATTAAAAAATATTTAATAAATTATATTTAATATTTTCATTAATAATATTTAATAATATTTAATATTTTCATTAGTAATAAGAATTTCTAAATAATATTTATATTTGTTAGTAATTAATAAATAAATAATAATTAATATTTTCATTAATAATATCCAAATAATAAATAAAAATAAAATTGTATTTAATAAATTAAATATTAAATAATAATTAAAAAATTCATTTAATCACAAATGGGAGAGATATGGTACACTAATTTCTACTACTAGGTCGGTGTAAATGTCCGCCCGTATCGCATCCTCGATTACGTACATTTCTTGGTGGTCTTTGTGGTGGAGTCTGGTCCACCGTGTCGTCTTCAAGAAATTGGATCACCTTACGATAGTCTGCCTGATCGTAAGGTGACACGGCTGTAAATGTTTGGGTGGGTAAGGGACACGGCTGTAAATGTTTGGGTGGGTAAGGGTTGATTGGGTGTATGATATTGTGTGTTAAATTGGTTTGTTGTATCACAGGAGTATGTTTGTTATGGTGGTGGATATTGTTGGTATTGGGACTGTGAATAAGTTTGTGTGAATGGGGTGGATTGAGTAGGGGTATGTTCATGGATTTGTGGTTGTGTGAGTGGGGGTTGGGTTGGCGGTTGGAAATGAGGTTGGGTAGGTTGTTGGGGACTGGGGACTACACTGCACTAACTCCGCTTCAAGACATAGATGAGGAGACACTACCATTAAGTCATATGTATTGTCCTCCCCAACACCTGACGAACTTGCAATTGAGTGGAGACGATACTTCCTCAAATGTTTTCTATAATCCTTCTCAACAAATTGAAGGTGTTTTGAAAGTGGAAACCAGTACCGAACAAAAGAAGAGTGCATGAAAGCTATAAGAAAGTTTCATATGGATAACTTCGTTGATTTTTACATCAATCGGAACGACTCAAAACACTATGTCGTAGTTTGTCGTAACAGAAGTTGCAAGTTTCGGTTAGTAGCGTCCTATCGGAAAAGAAGTGATTGTTGGGTTATAGGTTCGATGGATCCACCCCATAGTTGCACAACCAACATCAATCGGCAAGATCATGGAAAACTAAGCTCTCAATTGATATCCCAAGAGATTTTGCATCTTGTGGGCGTAGATCCATCTGTGAAGGTGAGCACAATTATCTCTCATGTTGTTGCACGGTTCAACTATACCCCATCGTACAGGAAAGCTTGGATTGGAAGAATAAAAGCTGTTGAACATGTATATGAGAATTGGGAAAAATCTTACAATCAACTACCACATTATTTACTAGCACTTCAAAAACATGTTCCTGGTACGGTTGTAATATTGGAGTCACTACCAGCATACACTCCTGAAGGAACATGTGTTGATAGAAGTAGGATATTCTCTCGTCTCTTTTGGGCATTTCAACCATGTATCAACGGTTTTGCGTTCTGCAAACCGATTATTCAAGTCGATGGAACATGGTTGTATGGAAAATACAAAGGAACATTGTTGATGGCGGTTGCACAAGAAGAAAATAATAATATATTTCCAATTGCCTTTGCCCTGGTCGAGGGTGAGAAATCTTCTTCAGAAATCTCAGAACACATGTCACTCCACAACCCAACTTATGTCTGATTTCCGACAGACATGCCTCTATTGTGAGCGCCTACAACAATCCTGCTAATGGTTGGCACAAGCCTCCTTCTGTCCATGTCTACTGCATAAGACACATTGCTCAGAATTTTATGCGGCAAATGAAAGATAGAAATCTCCGTAAAAAAGTTGTGAATGCTGGGTATGCCTTAAACCAACCATCGTTCATGTATTACCGCGAAGAAATAAGATTTTCAAGCGCGGAAGCATTAAGGTGGGTGGATAGCATTCCAATCGAGAAATGGACAAGGTCTTTTGATGGAGGATGCAGATGGGATCACATGACCACAAATCTTGTAGAATCCCTAAACGACGTATTTAAGGGAACTAGGAACCTCCCCATCACTGCGTTGGTAAGAGCAACCTATTACAGATTGGGGTCACTTTTTGCGGCAAGAGGCAAAAAATGGAGCGCGGTTGTGGAATCAGGGCAAATATTCAGCGAATCATGTATGAAATATACGAAGGATGAAACTTCTAAGGCGGCCTCACATCGAGTTAGACCATTTGATCGTCACGATTACAACTTCATTGTTGATGAGACAATGGATCACAACGAGGGTCGGGCAATGGGACACTACAGGGTGAAACTTCATAAAAATTGGTATCTACAATAACAGTTTTCCAGTGGTAGCTAGTGAGAAATATTGGCCAACCTATCATGGAGACACAATCTACCACAACGTAAATATGAGACGAAACAAAAAGGGCCGCCCCAAAAGCACGAGAATTACAACTAAAATGGATACAATTGAGAAAATGGAAAGACTATGCAGAATATGTCGTCTTCCCGGGCATACTAGGAATAATTGTCCAAATGTTGGAACAAGTTCTAGATATATTTAATTTGGTCATTAAAAAAATGTGTAACCTTGGAATTTAATATTTATAACAACTTCTGATTACCACATAAACAAATTGAAATATTTAATATTTATAACAACTTCTGATTACCACATAAACAAATTGAAATACTTCTAGATTATTACAACATAAACTAAGATATAACAACAATCAAAGTAATATCATCAGTTCCGAACATCATAGACCTAATTGCGTTCTCATCTCTAATTCGCACTCACTCCCGCCGTATATTTCCGTCTTCAACAGAGAAGTACGAGACAAGTCTTTCAATACTCCTAATGTTTTCACCATTTGAAATGTCTCCTTCTAACCATCGATTCAAATTTGTTCGTAGTTGCTCTAAACTCTGGATGTTCCAAAACAACATCCTTATCGGAGGCTTCGTTCTAAGATACATGACTCACTCTCCTAAATTTGGATGAAACAATGTTAATTTAAATGAAACAAGTCTAACTATTTATACAAAAAAAATTTTGTTTAAAATAGTATTAAATATTAATTATATTAGAATTAAAAAATTAAACAAAATAAAGGGGCTCCAAAGGGGATGGCGCCCCCCTTATAAATTATAGGGTGACTCCAACATCCATGGCGCCCCTGTACAAAAGTAAAAAAAAAAACGTGAAACATGGGTAAATTGGTATATATGATAAAATGTTGGGTATATTGGTTATTAAGAGGTGAAATGTTGATTATTTAGGTGAAAAATTCTTTTTATTTAATGGTCGTGCTATAAATCTTTTTTTGGGTAGGTTTCCATTTAATGTTCCTGGAAATATCTACTACTATAAACCAATAGATTGTCTGATTTGGCGGGAAATTTAATAGACAGCTTGTCTGTCGTTTGCAATTATGTGCATTTTTCATGTAAAAAAAGTTTACGTGTAATTTCAAGAAAATTATCGAGTGTATTACTTGTAATATAAAGTAGTCAATATAAAGTATAGTTAGTAGACAAATTAGGTGAAGTTTTGTAATCAATATTTTGTCAGTTTATTAAAATAATAACAATTTGAAATATGAAACACTTAAAATGAGAAATATGACACTGAAAGAGTAAATAACAGAGGAGCTTTAGGATAAGGTTAATCTACATTTTTGTGCCAAATAGCATTTCCCAAATATCATCTTCAACATAACAAAGAGCTCTATTACAATTCATAAATGCTAAAATTAAACAACCGTAGAAACATAGAAGTGTACGCTTAACCACGAGGAAGTAAAGATTGAACCTTTAAATAAGAACAAACCCATCAGCCTTCTGCCTGACCCTCAATGTCAGATATATCAATACTAATGTTCCCAAACTTGACCTGCAGGGTAATTGATCGATTTAGTGAATTGCTCAAATCTAGACAAAATCATGAATGCTCATCTTAAACAAAATCAGAAAACAGACACTGGAGAAACATGGCAATAGTATGACAGTTCCTTGGAA